TTATGTATAAAAATTGATAGTTCATTAAAATGACATTGACATGTATAAGCCGTTGCAGAAAACATAAGACTAAGCTTAAAGCTGTCCTTAATGTATGCCCTAATAAAGGTGAAATGGAGAAGTGTAAAGTAAATTCCATACTCCATAGAGATGCAAAGGCCACCAAGTTTTACGGTCTTCCTAAGATTTACAAAGAGGATGTCCATCTTAGATCACTAGTAAATAACAAAGGTAGTGTGATGCATAAAGTCTCATGTTTTCATGTATGTAACAACGAAAAGCTGCGGATTTTTGATTATATTGAGGTAAAATTCTTGTGAGTTTAAGAAATTGATTGATCAGTGGATGCTTTCAGAGGAGGCTATGTTAATAAATTTTAATGTTGTGCCTATGTACACAAATATTTGTGTTCAAAATGCCATTGAGCCTCTATTACAAACTCTGGAGAAACATCAAGAGATCATATAAGAAATAAGGTTAACTATAGCCTCTAGTGTTAGACTTCTTAACGTATCCATAAGTATCAGCTATTTTACTTTTGATTGGAAGTTTTGAGAAAGGATACAATGAATTGCGATGGAGTCTTGCTTAGTTCCAATTTTGGCGAACAACTATATCGCAAACTTCTACATACCACTACTCGGTACAAGCAATACTAGTCTGTAAATTGTTGGTTAATGAATCTTTTAGCATCTAGCATCATAGTAAGGTAAGTTTAGATAGCTTCTTTATGTCGCTTAGTATATACGAAGAATGATTAGGATTCAAGGAATATCTTGTTTCTTAATCGTTGAGTTTAATTATATTTTGAGTGAAAGAGTTTGGTGAAGAGATTCGAAGGTTGAATTCACCTAAAGACGAGAGCGGATTCCTCTTGACCAGCTGGCGATTAGCTTTACTGCAATATTCATGCTGACGCTATTTCCGAGGTAATCTATTTAGATTAAGGTGAAAACACGTTAAGCTTTCGTCCATCATATGACGAACATCATCAAGGCGACCAAATTCAAGCTAACGAGTCAAAAAAACTCAGCGGCTTACCACTAAAAATTGTATAAATATTCTATATCTAAGCTATTTGATGAGGTATACAGTAATTTTAAAGATATGAAGACCAAGATGGTGTGGCCTCTTCCCGGATTTACATGTCAAGGCTGGACACTTCACTGGCGAGACTCGAATCCTATAAAGCTAGTAGTTAAACCTAAGCGATGGCGTAACTGCAGTCAACCCTGAATGAGAATATCATTTGGGTGGCAAAGCCTTGTGTAATTCAATGGAAACGTCAGGACTACCAATAGAATTGGGTAAAAATAAAACTATCAACCACTTATCATCTAAATTGAGCAATGGTGGATACAGCTCTAACTTGAGATCTACTGGTAGTTGCTAAAGTAAATGAAGGTTCAAAGGAATAACTTAGATAATTTCATTATAATGCCTAATGTCATTCGTAAAAATATTTTAATAATAGATGCTATAATATTTAATTTGATTCAGATATTTATTAACTCTCAGTTTAAAATATCATTTTCTTTATGTAATCTTTATTTTATACAAATGGCGCGGTTGAATGTTTTCCATTGGTGCGCGGTCTTTTGTCATCGCCCCTCTTCTTTGTAGTACGTCCTGTCAATTGTTTCATCTAACATTTATTTTCTTTCCTTAGCGTGTCTATTTAACTGTGATACATTTTTATTTTCATTTCTTATTACTGACATATATCCTAATATATTGTGTGTTCCCGTCTATTTATATCGAAAAATGTATCGCGGTACATTTTGATAGTCTTTTTGTTAACCTCAACGAACTCACACTACCCTACATCCATTAGTAACCTTGAGCTGTTTTTATATGCTTTTTATCTCATCTTAATTTCTTAAAGTTATATTCGTTAGTTATCAAGAACAAATGCCTGTTTTCCATTTTGACGACTGAAATGTGCACTACTTTTTTCATAAAGCATCAAGTAATTTTATTTATGTCGTCAATAACTAGTTATTAAAGAAATTTCCATCAACCTTATGCCATTTCTTCTTGGGTTGGACAAGCACAAACTTTTTGTGTCCTACATTTGTCACTACTTACAATTTCCGTTTATGGAAATTCAGAGTTTCGAGGAAAACTTTTCCTTTTTTTTATTCGTGTAGAGCCAATTTGCTCTCTAGTTTAGCCACGGACTTAAAACTTCTTATGCATTCTACGACCGTTTTTAGAAAATGACTGATGATAACGGATCTGCTGAACTTCAATCCCTTTCTCCTGTACATGACGAAAAACCATCCCCCCCCTTATCTACGAATTCTTTCCATGATGCTGTTTCTTTAGATAATCAACAACCATCTTCTCATTTACACACAAACTTCGTAAACGGAAACCAGGCTCATTTTCATCACCGCCGAAAACGCGTTCGGGTTTCTCCTGTCAGGATGCAAATGGATCATGATACAGCAAGTGACGGATCTGGATCCAGTGGATTTAGTGCGAGTGCCCCTAGTTTTGATATAACATCTAAAGATATCGATCAATCACGCTATCGTTTGTCAGAAATACAGGAGGGAGATGCTGAACTTGACCATAAGTCGCCTCAACTTTCCCCATTCCATCATTCTTGTTTTCCTCTAGATGGTCAAGAAGAAGGTATTGGAAATTGCCCAAAAATGGATCCTGAGGTCAGGGCAATTATAAGCAAATTTGTTCATTCCGATACTGTCATTCATTGCCTTGAGCTAGCAGGCTTTACGACTGCTCCGGTCCTCGCTTGTCTTTTGGATATTTCTCAAATTCGTCAATTGGAAGATTATGTGCGTAATGCTTGCGAATTGATGCCCAGTCGAGCCGCTCGTGTATGGTTTTTGGGGTCTCTCTTTGCACATCGACCCGATCGTTTTCGTTTGCCGGCTGGAGCCATATGTGGGCTACGTCTGGCTATAAATGAATTATCTAGACGAGATATGATTTCCTCTCATTCTGATTCTAAAATCTCCTATGGACATGCCGGATCTGTTTCGCCCCATCGATCATCGAGTGATGAGGATAAATATGGAAATGCAAATGATGGTGACTGTCATGATGACCCTAGTTTGCACAACGAAATGATCAAATTCGAAGCCGGTTGTCAAACTAGTTTGTCTTTGCCCTTAATCCTTGATACAACTAATCATCTGGCAGCAGCTGCCGCAGCCTTCCTACCAATAACCTGTGCAAGTGCATCGACTTGCATTGCCGACACCAACTCAACGACATCGTTCAACACTGGAAACTCCCATTCAAGTATTGTCTCAGACTCCGGATCCATGGCATCTACTATTACGGTTTCTTCTGCACATGTATCACATACTCAGGGCTGCAATTCTGCCGCAATGGTATCTATAAATAATACTGTCCCTGGTTCTGCATCCATTTCTAACAACCTTCAAAGCCCAGTGTGTTCTGGTGCAAATTCAAGCATACCATTACTACCTTTCTTGTCAAATAACCAACAGAGTAGCAGCCACCTGCTTTCAACTAATACTATTCCGAATTCCGTAGTTGTTGGAGCCACAGGCACAACCGGAAGTGGTATGCTGGATGAAGAAAGGATCGACCTAGAACGTCTGAAACAACACGCTACAGCCAGCGCTGTCAGGCTAGCTACCCGTCAATTTATTAATGCCCATTTGATCAGAGGACGCGATTTTGATATGGAGATGGAACTTTCCATAACTGCGGAGGGCCTTAAGCGTGTTACCGGTATATTCTATTGTCACCTCTGTAGAGAAAAACGAGATCGAACGTCGGCCGTAAGATTTTCAATTGCAAGAAACCGGCATCCCGTAATGAGCAACGTTCTTTCACATTTGAAAATGCACTTCCAATATCGTGGGCAAACCCTTCCTCCATCAAATGGGGCCCATGTGATACATCAAACCTCCACTCCCCCCGGAGTTTATGGGCAACCTAAGCCCGAGATTTTCCAAATGCCTTCACATACTTGGCAGCCAAACGCCATTGCTCAATCTCCTGTAAAACCTGAGAACGTCTCAAGTCCTCAGGCCTCATCCAATCCAAACAGCAGCGCTGGGGCTACTGAAAATGTCCTCTTCTCCCCAAACAACCCGGCGCAACAACAGCCACATACTTTTGGTGGGTCTGGTATGGTCTGAATGCTTGATAATCTTTATAATCTCTTCATTCAATCATTTATGTGCCCGTAATCGAATGCTAACAATTTGTACAATGCGGAATCTTTAATTCATCTATTTTATATAGTGTAGCACACTTCAAATATGCATGGACATTTTGTTAGTTCAATCCGAAATTGGAGTTTGGCGTAGATTTATATGTCAAATTTTCGCAACTCCAATCTGCGGTCGATTTCTGTTCCTAACTTAGATTCTCAGACTCCAATCTATCTCGTGGGTCCATTGAACTATGGCTTTAAATTTTGTTTTGGTCCTCATGGCCATGCATTGTAATTTATTTAAACTATTCAATCCTTTTCCTTCTGTACTCTCACCAAAATCTGCTTTAATTTTTTGCTCAAAATTCGATAGCTCTTGTAAATGCTCCATTCCCAATCCGCCTCCCCGAGGGCCATTCTGTTTTTCGAAAATGCCCGGGTGGAGCAACTGCCATGCCATAATTTTGTATACGTCTATCCAGGTGTCTCTTATATTTGAACATGGAGTTCAAATATTTTTTTCTTCAACGTCTTTCTACAATACTTCATGTATATTCTCCTTATCTTTCTTCATGCTCTTGTTTACACAATATGTATGAAATGATGTATTTTTCCATTTGTATATGTAAGCAGTCTCATTTCGAATGGCGATCCCGCTCTATTAACTTTTTTAAGCTTTTCCTAGCCAGACTGGATATGAATCTAGGGTGCAAATAGCAACATATTAGTCGGTAAGAGTATACAATTTACTGCATATTGAAATTTAAGTATCGTCTCAAACTCGTCATGACTCAAACTCGAGTGTGCTTATTAGACTGATTAATTTTCAGACTTTCCTCTAAAGGGAAGACTAGAACCATTGGTGAAACAGCCTGGTCTGATAAGTTAAAGAAAATTTCCGCTTTGACTACTAATTAAGCTTTAATTAATCAAAGCATTTTATTACCATATGGATCATGTCCTAGAGAACAGCCATCCCAAATCGAACTGACTTTGCTAATATCTGAAGCAAAGTATCCTTGGTGTGAATTATCCATTCTAACTCTCCAGTCTGAGGAACTACTTTGCTCACACTTATTGGCTCATTCCAAATAATGGTATTGTTTCTACCTCATAGTGTATATTACGATTCTTAAGGGCTAAAATGGCTTTCTTGATAGATCATTGGGAAAGAGCCGTTAAGTGATGGTCAGTCTCTCAAACAAAAAACTCCTTGCGAATACAAACATTCAAGGTTGCCGAATAATGATATTATTGAGAAGGATTCGAATTAAATGAAAAAGGCATACAATGGACGATCTCCCCAGAAGAGGATGGTTGATTCCTATAATATTGCAGTGGTTTGACTATAAAACTATGTTGAAGTTAAGACAGTCGCTTAAGGCACAAAAGGACAGAGCTTTCGTCGAAAATATAATATCCGGATCCCATCATGGTCTCGTAGATCCGTTCCTTATCTTTCTGTTTGACCTACTTCATTCGGTTCCAGTCCCAGTGTGCGTTTCACTCCGGGCGCTATTTCTCAAGGCCCTATAAGCACGTACACTGCTTAGGCTAATAATATCCTCACTACAACTAGATTGGCTATAGATGCGAATGCCCATCATCTTTTGTATCATGCGAGATTCTAGCGAGTTTATAGTCCTGAAAAGATTTTCGTCTGAAGTCTTTTCCTAGTACCACTGCCGTGAAATAATAGCTAAGTAAATTCAAGAGTATTTATTCTTCAAGTCAAATAGTGCTATTTATGTGCAATAAATGATACATTTAATCTGATTATCTTACTCGAATGTATTGCAGGCTCTGACCGCTTTTCATCATTTCTGGAGCAGAATTCCACTTTTTTCGACAACTTCGTCTCCCGGGACAGCTTTGTGCATTCTTCCTCGAAGCATCGCT